AAAGCTTCCTAGGATCTGCAACAGCTTTGAAGCATACTTCAGAGGTGAGCCATGCAGCCTGGCTCATGCCTAAGCATTTTTAGGACTTTCAAGTCAGATATCTTACTGCTATTTCTGAAGATGCTGATCTCCCAGAGCATATCCAGGGTACAGGGCTGAGCTGAACATTTTTACGTGAAGGTTTTCAAACTGACATCTTCTCCTGTTCCCAGAGAGTGCCTGAGAAGCAATCAAGTATTTCTCAGGCTTGAGACAGAGAATATGTGTGTATTTTTGTGAGGTTCACTGGTCTCTGAACAAATTTGGTCTTCTGGCAAAGGAAGGTCTGGATGCCTAATCCAGTAGTTATTTGAAAGAAATAAATTAGAGGCTTGAACTAATACACCCAGTGCTGGGTATCCAAAACACTGTCCTAGAGAGTCATGTTGTCTTGGGTGTTCAGTGATCCGTAGGAGAGTATTCTCTCCTACAGTTTGTTCTCAGTTTGTTCTCTCTGATCTAAACTGACCAGTAGCCTGGTGATTAAAGCACCCTTGCTACAGGTGAGGAAACTTTCTGCCCTCCCAGGCTATGTAGGTTTTCCCCAACCCTGGTTTGCATTCTGTCCACTGTGCCTTGGCACAGGGTTTCCCTAAGGGCTACACTTTGTACTAAATTATAAGCACTCCCTTCCTCTGCATAACTTTTATGCCATCTTTTAACCCCTCAGTTCCAAAGACTTTAACATGATTTTTTAAGACAAATAAGAGCTAATTATTTTGCTATAAATATTTACACTACCTGAAATCCTGAGAGAGAGAAGAGTTAATATCTGTCTTCAGTCAGAATCTGTGGCAGTCTGTGGGGCAACGAGTACTTTTGGAAATGAAGAAATGTTTGCACCTCCCTTTTCTTATCTACATCCTCTTCTAGTACTAATGTGCACGTTCCCTCATTTATTCCTAGTTCTCCTCTCTATCACCTATTTTCAGAGAGGGGGAGACCTCCTGAATTCAAAGTCACTGTTTGTGGATGTATATCCTGGAATGTGAAGGCGAGTATGCCTTTTCCCCATAGATGTCCTCCACAACCTTGGTGTTTGGCCTGCAAAAAAATGTAGGAATTGCATAAAGTATTTCAACCACCCTGTATTGGCATGGGATATGTTGAAATACTTTTAGGGCTTCCTTTTTTTTTTACTCCACAAACTGGGGAAATAAATAGAAACTCAAAGAGATCTCAAAGCTATGGCTAAAAGGGAATACTGAAATAGACTGTTAGTCTCATTCATCCTGTAGTTAAATTTGAGGGGGGAAGCATTTGAATTCTTGTGGCACTCAGGTCAAATAAAGCCCTTACTTTGTACAAGGATATTTTGTAATTTTGCTCTTCTGTTTCAGAAAGCAAATCACAAAGGAAGTTCAGAAGGTATTTACACAATCACCTAAAATAAGTGATGAAATGAGAGTGAACACTGGGTTCATCTGAAATGGTGGATGTTGTTTTAAGAGACCACTGCTCCTCACAAAGGAGGTGAAGGTGCTTTAGATACCTGCAGGCCCTACACTGTTAGCAGTTAGTGGTACTATAAGCTGGAAAGATTGGCCAAAAATACAGGAAAATGAAGAAAGGGTACCCAAATTGTGTAGGCACTTTGTGGTTTTGTGTCAGCTCCTGCAAGATCCTGTTTAGTAACTGGAGTTACAAAGGGGAGCACATTAGCCAAAGAAGAACTGCTTTTGGTTTTGCTGTGCCAGCTTAAAACAGTGAGACAAATTAGTTAACTGATACAGCCAGAAGGATATAAACAAGATTTCACAGCATCACAACACCTGACCTGTTGACCTCAGGTGGATTGACCTCCTACAGGTGGTCATAAAACAGTCTTTTGATAAAACCAGTCATTTTCCTCTGGCATATGGTGAAGTAATTTTGGTCTTTTTTTGTAGCTGTCTTTCATCCCCATCTTGCTCAGCAGTGAGGTTGTATCTTTCTGCCTGTTTGATTTGCCATATTCCCGTACCCGTTCTTCGTAAATGGTCCACTCTGAGTAGCCTTTGGGGCATCTGTTGAAGATCAGTTCTCTTGCAGGTACACCTAGTAAAAAGAGCAGAATTTAAAATCAGTGTTAGACTAAGTCCCACTATGGATTTTTACTCTGCAGAAAATCCTATTCACTTATGTCCCCTGGGAAAAAAAATGAAACCAAGTATCAGATCTGTTGCAGTAGAACTGTAAAGGACAGGACTATAAATAACATGTAAGAAGGGATTTTCTTGTGTGTGTTACTGATGGCAAGATAAAACCTTTAAAAGTATGGGTGTATTTGCTTTGAAGTTTGAAAGCGGTGGAGTTTTATTTGTCCTTGTCTTGAAGACTAACAATACACCAACCGTTGTAAATTTTCTTGGTTTTATTATTGTACGCTGTGTCTACCATTTCTGCTTGTCATGAAGTTCATCTATCACAGAGATGCCAGGGATTATTTTATGAAGCTGAGGTTTGCACTGGGACACAAAAGCTCCATCTTTCATTGAAGGATAAACTGGAAGCATGTTTTGACAGACATGGAATCACTAAGTGACAAGCAGTCCATGCTTACAGCGTGTTTATATTGAGGCTGGTTTTAGCAGTTTCATGTAGGTACTTCTTCCTTTAGTTTTCAAAGTACTGTGACTTTTCAAGGAGGAGTTCATGGATCTGAAGTTGCAAATTTTGATGATACAGAAAAAATCCAAGTCTTCTTGTAAATAGTTACTGGGAAATTCGGTCATGTAACACCTGCTACTTGGCTAATACCTTACAGGATGCAAAAAATAAGAAGGAACCAGGCTCTCCTCAGAGGTGCCCAGCAAGAGGACAAGAGGCAATGGGCACAGATGAAAACATGAAATTCAATCTGAACATAAGTAAACACTTCTTTGACTGTGAGGATGATCAAACACTGGTACAGGTTGCCTGGAGATTTTGTGTAGTCTCCATTGGTGGGGACAGATATTCAAAATCCAACTGGATATGGTCCTGTGCAACCTGCACTAGGTTACTCTGCATAGGGGATGGGACCAGATGATCTCAAGTGGTTACTTGTAACCTGGAAAATTCTCTGATTCTGTAATCAGGGTTAGCCTGATTTGAGAGCTAGGTGCTGGTTACCATGAAAATAGTGCAGGGAGGCACAAATGAAACAGCTCCAAGTGTTGCTTTCAGTAGATGAGCTCTGAAGAGTGCTACACCCATGATAGAGTTCCTTTCCTTCTCTTTCACACTTTTCATCTGTATTCCAAGTCTTCTACTGGAAGGTACAGTCTTTAAGAGAAGCTGAGACTGGGAGTAGTTTGGTACCAAAACCAGCCTGTCTGACCCTTTGCACCATCGCCAGATGGCAGTCACTGTGCTGTAGTTCCTCAGAGAGCCTTAGAGGTATTGCTTTGCTGAGCCCTGCAGTGTACTACGAATGAGGAGATGCACAAAAACTGGAGTGGGAAGACCTTTCATTGGGCTGGGTATGGAACTCTTCCTACCTTTTGGGTAAACTTTTGCTCTTACATGGAGTGACTCTTCAGGCTGGGTGTGCACCATTTAGGAATTCCCAGCTATTACTTGTTGTGGAATATGTACAGCAGAGAGATAGGATTATCATGCTACAAGGCTAAGAATTAATGTGCCTACCCACCCTGATGAGTCTTTGATGGCTAAGCATCACTTAAGTGGAGGAGAAATGGTCTTTGTTGCTCCTTAGAAGAGGCTCAGCCTTCATATTAATAATGGTCGCCTTCCAAATCTTCATTTTTAAAAAAAAAGCTTATATTTTTTACCTCCTCATGCAAGTGCTTCTCCTCCTGAAGCCTTGCTATGTTGACTATTCCATCCTGACAATAACTTACCTGTTTCTGCTTTTACTTTTCTTATTTTGCAAAGCCTCCACTTGTGTGCATTTCCACACCTAAACAACAAACTTCTCAGTAAAGCTGAGTCAATAACACGCAACTGGGCTGTGCCAGGGTAGGCCCTTGGTGACTGACAGCTGCACCCTGAGTGTTACAGGCAAGGGAGGGCACTGATTTTAGAAGCAGCACTTCGTACAGGGAATTAGATGCAGGTATACTTTGTTGGGTGGAGATGGAGTTCCACACAGAATACCTTTTGGTGGGGTGGAGTGAGTTGTTACTGTAGGTGGAATGCTGAGAGTAAATGCTTTTACAGTTCCTCCCTCCTGCATTCAAATGCTGTTGTCTTAGACAATGCTTTCTGACACGTAGTCAGAGCACCACAATGGCTGCAAAATTTTATGCTATTCCTTTTGGCCACAGGATAGGACAACTACTGCCCTCCCAAGCCAACAGAAGGAACTGATGCTGCCAAAGCAGCGTTGCTTGTTCAGTATCGTACATGGGCAAAAGGGATGTGTGGAAGATTCACTTTTTTTCTCATTACTTGTTTGCTGTTGAACATGGGCAAATGGGCTGGTTGGAAGGTGATCTGGGCCATAGCCTCTAGCCAGACTTGTTATTTCTAGTGTGTTGTGATAGCTATGTTTAGTGAATGCCTAGGATAACATGTGGAATAACAGTATTTTGGGGCCTATTTGAAGCCCACTGGTATGTTAAAGTTTCTCAGCTTTGTCAGTTGGGATAGTGTGTGGTTGATTTGGAATGGCAGGAGCGGAAACATGTTCCAGCTGTGCACATTACAGGATGTTCTAAGAGAACCAAGTCATTAATTGTCTTGAATAACAACACAACTCCTAGTTATTTTATTAAATGCAGGTCATGGTAAAATTATGAAGTAAAACATCAATCAAAATTTCACTGGTGTTTCTGTTAATACCATGAATATCTTTGCTGAGATTCACTCGTAAGGTACAAGTCAAACATTGGTCAATAACACAGGTAGCAAGGAATCTGTGCAGATATTCGACAGGAAACAGGTATAATTAAGTAAAGTTAAAAAGAAGAAACAGATTTAAATTCTAAAGGATTTAGATTACATATCAGTAAAAGGTAAAAAGAAGGCATGTTGCTCTCAGCAACCTTAAACTGCAAAGTTTAGAAAAATGAGGAAAAAATGCAAGGTGATTAGAAGTCAGCAATTAAATGTTAAGGGCTGGACAATTTTCTCCCAAAGACTAATTTTTTTTCAAGTAGCTGAAAGAGCAGGAGAGAAGTGTGATGTGTCTATATACATGTAATGAGAGAGGAGAAGGTAAGGGCCATTTCAAGATTATTCTGGATTTGTATTAAATTTTGTTAATTCCTAACAGTCCTAAATTGGAAATTAGCATAAGGAAATGCAAATTCCTCACTTCCCAGTGAGGAAAAGAGAGCAAACAGATTTCTACACGTTTTTTTTATTATTATTATTTTCAGGGTTTTTTTTCCCAAGGAGAGCCAAGAGAATGAACTGCATTTCCCTTGAAGTCAGCATTTGATATAGGCTAGATGATGGCATCTGGCTAGGTGCAGAGGGCTTTTATGACTCCACCTTAGCCCCAAACAGCAAAGCCAGAAGAGCAGGTTTGATACAAGGGAGCAAAATTCCATGCTCTGTTTTCTGTGGAGGGCTGTCTCATTAGCACAATGGAAAGAAGCAGTAGAAGGGTGTTCTTTGATGGCACAGGATGGTTTCTGGGTGCTGCCTTCTTTGAGGGGGATTGGGGATGGGAGGAAAAGAACATACGCTTTCAGTACAGGTAGCTATATGGCTTAAGGTTCAGATTTTAGCATTGCAGCTCACATTTTTCCATTGAACAGTGAACCTTGGTTGCTATCTGAGAGCAAGTACTAATTCATTCTAGGGGAGAGCAGAATCTACCAAAAAAGAGGATGCTCTTGGACTTGTTGTGTCTGATGAAGAAAATGAAAGGGTGATCAACTTTAAATTTCAGAACATGGCCAACAGGTGCACTTGCTAGCTCTATAATGACAGCAGTAGCAGCAGCTGCCTCAGTGCCCTCTTCATCAACTGTGACAAAAGACTTGTGAAAAACTTTTGAGATCTGCAGATGACCCTTCTCAGTCATCCCACTGAAATCAGCATTGCTGCTGAAGGCACTGCGCATTCCCATCCTGATCAAATTATCGCTGAGGTCATATCTCTCTTCTATTTTGAACTTAGGTAGGTACAGGTCCACAAGAGTTTCAGTCATCTTCTTGGAATCAGTCCATTCGGACAACTTCTCATAGGTTAGTTCTCTTTCCAGCTGTTTTTTTAAAAAAAAAAAAAAGAGAAGGAATTTGATGTTTGCAAGGGGAAAACGGTTAATTAACTATGAATTAATCAACTTTACAACAATGTAATGAATTTAACTTTTTTTTTAAATAGCAAAAGCATTTTAAAAGCATTTTAGCATTTAGCTGAAAGCATGAAATAGAAACTGTTTTACTGGTTATCAGAGACAGTGTATGCAACAAATAATTGAGTCTAAGTGCTGCGAAGTTTTGAGCACCAACCCTACCAAATTCATTGCAAAAGGAAGACAGGAAGGGCACTGAACAGCTGCCATTCCCTGAGGTAGTTCTTTCTTTTAATTCAGTCTTGATATGAAGAAAAATTACTGTGAGATTGGCAGCTGTGTGGCATGTGGTTTGGTCCAGTTCTATAAAAACAGGTCTTAAAATTGTTGCACTTATTTCCATGACAGCTTTGAAACGAACTTTTTCCAGCAAGGTCTTTCACTGCCAGTCTGTGTCCTGTGCACTACACTTGGACAGTTCAGCTCAGATCAAATGGAGGAAAGGAATGAATGGTATAGACTCCAAAAATTCAACAACCTTGGAACTGTAGTAACTACAGTGGTAGATCTCATTACTGTAACACATGCAGTCTCGCCAAAACCTTAGTTTTTCAGACAGCAAACAAGTGGTGGTGGGGAGAGGGAAAAACAGAATGAGAACAAGATGGTAAACAAACTTCCAGGCCATGGAGAAGAGGTGTCTGCTATTTCAGGAAGAGGCTGTTACTACTTGTGCAGTACTGTCCCTCTTGAATGTGCAGTGAGATTTAACCCTTAGAGAACATGTAAGATTGGATATCAGTCGTAGGGCTGTTGAAGAGCTAAGCATCTGACTATTATTCTCTTCAGTTCTTACCAAACTAATTGTGCTCATCATAGAGGAACTTCCTTGGGATTAGATTAATACTAAAGGAAATTAACTCAGCTAGTGGAGGAGGTCAAACAGCATGACAGTATGTCTTCAGAAAAGAAGAGATGGTTGGCAGCCTGCTCTTTTTTTTTTCTTTTTTTTTCTTTTTTTTTCTTTTTTTTTTTTTAATGACTATGTGCTAATACAAAATGGATATATCATGCTTTTTTACCTGTTCAAGACCCGTAGTGTTGTCTTTGATGTCATCAGGAAGGAGGATGAACATACTGAGTTCATGTTTCACATATGGCAACTCAATCATTTTGAAATTCATTGTTTCCATGATGAGAACTGGAAATGTATTTCTCATGTACATCATCTTTACAGGCTTGGTCTTGTTCTGTAAAGTATTTATTTATAAGTAAGAAATCATTCCTTGAATGGAAGGATGATGATGTCTCAGTACAGTGCAGGGAGAGGAAACTTTTAAAAACAGCTTTTAAAACAGGAATTTATAATTCATTTTCTAAGACTTTTCTTGACTGGACTATGTTTCTCATCGTGGTGTTTGTCCCAAAGCTTTCATTGGAGTCTGAACTGACAGATTTTTCTCTTCTCTCCAAAACATGCATAGCAGCCAACAGAGGAGGGAGGAAGAGAGTTAGAAATGTCTGCAAGAATTAGGGGGATAGAGGAGGCATGGGATATGGCCTTACAACGCTATGGCAGAGAAACAGAGAGGACAAGTGTTGTGCAGTTTTTCAGTGGTCTCCTCTCTCTAGTGATAAAAAGCAGCCATCTGATTGCTCCTTACATCACAACCCTTAAGAGAAGATATCACTAGTGTCAAAGCAAAAGGGCTTATAATGAGGGAAGTTCCTGGCAAGCAGTCACCTTGTCAGGAGTGTCTAGCCTCCTTTAACATCTACATTCCTTCTTTCAGGGAAGCAGACAATGTATAAAGGCTAATCATAAGGCAGAAGGTAGAGCTTGTGGAAATTGCAGAGTTCTTGTTTTTAATGTGAATTCATTAACATCTCTTCTGGATACATGCCATTATCATTTCTACTAGTCCTTTCCAACCATGCAATAGTTCAGGGTACCCTGTTGCAGCTGTATTTGAGCAGGTGTGTTTGTGCCTAGCTAGGCTGCACAGCTCAGAGGTCTCACCCTTGACATACCATGTAGTTCTTGTCCATGAAGCTTGGGCTCTCAAACCCATGTTTTTACAATCTAGTCATTCTTAGCATTGTTTTGTAAAAAGAGCCTGAGTGACTGTAGTACTTTTGGAAACAGTAGCTGTTATCTGGAGCTCATTAACATTTACCTGAGCATCTTAATATTTCAATGAGCTGAGCACTGACAGATTTTGCTGTAACCAGCTTTTCACAGAGGGCTACCACAGGGACACCTAAAGGACTTATGAAATGGAAAGATTTCAGCAGTAGCTGTTGTCACCAGGTTGTTTACAGGAAGAAGGACACAGGAAGAGCTTACCTTGCTCAGTCGGAAGGCTTGCAGATCTGTATGTCCTCCCTGAAATTTCACCTCCCATTCTGCCTTAAAGTAAATTGCATTTACCAGGATCAGCTTAGTGGTGTTTGACACATCTTGTGGACTCAACAAATTCTTGATTTTGCCTTTTGAAATCAGAAGAGTCAGATTTAATTCCAGCAGTGTGAACGTTTTGATAATTTTTTCCCCTGAGTTCAACTTCTTAGTGAAAATTCCTCAGTGCCCTGCTCCCTAAAATGCTCCCCTGACATAAATCAGTTAGTTTCTTCACAGTTTTCAAAGCTGTTTGCTGTCCTGTCCTCCTGGCTAACTGATGAGGATTTACTCCTTCCCCCAAGAATGTCACAACTTCATGACAAGAAGCTGGAAGCAGAAAGCCATATATTGCCTCACCAGCTGGTTTCACCAGCTAGAGGGAGGACAGCCCCTCTGGCCAGTGCAGGATGGCACAGCTGGGCAGGCATCCTCACCCGCCCTGGAGCACACTGGTAGGCAGAGCTGTCTTCCCCCTCTGTCTGCCCTGCCAGTGATACATGGGTGCAGTTCTAGGACAGTGGTTGTACTGGAGGATCACCTGATGCAGAGCACAGCAGAGTCAATGGGAGTCTCCCCAAAGAGCTCACTGAGGTCTGGATCAGGTATTTGAAGCTGTTTAAGTGTGCTGCTCTTCCTCTGTCCTCCCACCACATCTCTGCTCACTGTCCACATCCACATTGGAAGGCATGACCTGGCTGCTGAAGTACCACCTGGGGAAGCAAGGGCACCTGCCCAAAGGAAATGGCAGGCTGACTTAATGGGAGAGCAAAGATGTTGGGGTTGAGCTCAGCTTACCCTCCGTTTGTTTTTCAACCCAAGCATTGATTTCCTTTCCGGACTGTTCTGGTGCTGTCTTAAAGTTAACCTTCTGTGGTTCTGCTTTGTAGTAGTTCTTACTGAGCTGTATGTATGTCTGAAAAATAATAAAAAAGTAAGCAAAATGTTCTGTGCTAGAGAACTACACTATTTTTCGGTCCCAAAGGGAAGTTGTTAGCTCTGGTACTTGATAGATTCTTGGGCCTTGAGGACTGCAGGATCCTGCTTGTTGCACTCTCTTGGACTGTGGGTTAACAATTGAGAAATAACTAAAGAACAGAAATTTCCCACTTTTGTTCCAAGTTTTATCTAGAGAAGTGAGGAAGGATGCGCATGTACCATGGATGTGCTTATTTTAATGTCTCATTTACAACTTTATCTGTTGGGGTTTCTGCTAAAGGCACATTGCATGAAAAGGAATCCCTACAGCACAGTCCAAGGGCAATGCCTCCTTAAATTCTGTGTTTTCCTGTTGAGTTTATCACAGGGTCAGCTTCAAACATATTCCATTAATATCAAGTAATTAAAATGAGAAATACTTTTTGCCCCTTTTCTTACTCCTCTCTGAGATTTCACTTACAGGCAGTAATAGGAAGGTTTTTTCCACATAAATGCGGTTGGCACTTCTCAGCAAGTAGGTGCTTCTGGGTTTGTTGATGGCAGTCAGGAGCTTTTTGAAACTAGAATGGATATCTGCTGCTTTCTTGTTCTCAGGATCCTTGGAAAAAGAAACCAAACATTCAGCAATTGCATTTTTGCACAAAGCTTTCAAAACATGCTAAGTGACGTATGTGGGAGAGGAGCTCGGTTTTCCCTTTCTTACTCTTTATTTTTTGAAGTTTACGATCAAACCATTTAGCAAACCTTCCATACTATCCCAGTGACTTGTTCTTTTATGATTCTCAGAGTCTGACTGAGTGAAAGGAACTGAACTTCAACCTGTTGTGAAGTATGTGGGCATTTGTACTTAAAAGGGGGGTGCAGACAATAAATACTGGACTCCTAAAGCTGTATCTGAACATTTAGATTCTGGAGGTTCTTTGTCTTGGAATTTCAGTTCTAATAGATACCACTTTTCTTCTTTTCGGTCTCCCCCGAGAAGGCCTGGCCACAGAAGAGGAGGCTTCAGCTCCTGCTGCTTGAGTGAAATGAAGAACCTGCAAACAGAGTTTCCAAAGGTAAAAAATAGGCATGGAGGAACTGGTGTGACTTAAAGACAAATGGGGATCAAATAGTTGTCTTGTTTCACTCCTTGTGATAATTCACTGTGCTGTCTGCTGCTTAGGTGACTAATCAAAGGGATGCTGAATCTGCAGTATACATAAATCCCGTAGGATAACAGTGACTAGCTCTGTCCCTCTCCCTGAGCATCAACACAGTGCATCTGTCTGCACATTGCAAGGCAGATCTCCCTTCCATAGCGGTTGCTTCCAGCAACAGGAATGTGTTTGTGCAAGCCCAAATGGGTCTTCACATGATAATGGTACAAAGGCCTCTGAACAAGAGTGCAGTGATGCAGAGGAGAGTGCTGGGCAGTGCTGAGCACCACAGCTCCTTCTGAGCCACCAATGTGCCCATGTTACATTAAGTAGGATTGGGTTAGGGATTGTGGATATACCAAAACCCTTCCTGTTTTCCTGTTGCATTGTCAGGCAGTTATTTAGGAAAGCATAAATCAAGATAAAGGGATGCATCCTGGTCAGAGTAGAGAGGGAGAATGCAGGAATCTCCGAGCCTCCTACCAATTAGTTAGGAACTATTGGCATCAGCTTTTTGCTTCTCAGAGGCAATATCCATCTGTGACCAAGTCATGGTCATTTATCTTATGGGATCATAAGATAAATTAGAAGATGTCAAATAATTTAAAAGAAGTCAGGTTCAAAGAACCTTCTGCTCAGCATGTGATAACAGCAGGACACTTTCTCTTCGTGGAGAAGAAAGTGATGTGCTATGACATTATAAAAATTTGCCATTTACTTATGTGCCTTGGTTCTTTGTCATTCTGGTGGCAAGTTTTTCTAACACTAAGATTTGTAGCTAATACAGGAGCTAGCTATTGTATGGGGTGCATGTTTCATAGAGCAACTTACCTCTGCCATCTCAGTTGCTGTATTCCCTTTTGCACCCAGGTATGTCAGAGCCAGAGCAGCTGATATGCTACAAGGGGAAAAGAAAAGGTTCTTTCCCTTGTTGGTCTCATTCAGCTTGTTGAAAAGATCAACCGTAAACTTGCCAACTGAGGTTGAGACCACTTCCATTGCTACAGCCTGGAAAGAGGCAAGAGAAAAAATTGTACTTTTTGAATGTTTAAAATTTTGTACACAAAACATATTAGTGAGAAATGTTACATGTGCAACACAATGCACTGACATCAACTAAAACTAATAGCTGTATATTTATCTTCCGCACAGGTACTGTTTGCCACCTGTTAGGAGCAGCAATTTCTTCTAGTTTTTTTGTTAGCCAAATATTTTCCACTAACTATAAATATGTCCTCTTTTACAGAGCTGCAGTTTCCTCCATGTTTCTTTCTGCCCTTGGTTTTCGAAACTATACGTATTTTTGTGTGTTTTTCTTCCTTTTGTCCTTAACTAACCATTTATCAAAATATTATTCACAGGGGGACTGTAAATGCATTGTTAGTACATTGGTTCACAACATGACTGAGTTTCCCACTGCTTCATTTTGGATCTGTATAGAATTGAGAGCTGATACCATGGAAAGAATTTAGGCATAATTCTTAGGCTCACTTTCTTTTCCTAACCAGCCACCTATTCTGAATAGTATCATGAACAGAAAAGCTGGTATTTCCCTTTAGATTCATGGAGTTTTATTCACTATGTGTACCTACCACCTCTTCTGTATGTTCCAGCAGTTTTATTTTCTCCAGAAAGTGGCAGATGTGTGGAGGTTATAGTACTCTAGAATTTAGGATATCTGCCCAGTAGTACCTGCTTCATGTCATTTTCCCCTCAAGAGACCAAAAATGTTGATTTTGCTGGTTTTGTTATTAATATTTGTATCTAAGGAATGGAGCATCAGAAATTGTGGAGCAGTCTCTGAAGTCTACCAATATTTATCAAGTGTTTGGTTGCCAAACCACTACAGTTCTTCTGGCAGTCAGTGTGCTGTCAGTACCACATCTGTACCACTGAGTGATTTTCCCTCCTTGGAGAACACATCCAAGAGAGCATCAGGATGGAAATTTCTCTGTTTTCTGCTAATGAAACCTGAGTCCCTTAATGTGCCTTCCCGTGCCATACGGAACTCTTTCATTGAACTGAGGATTTTAATTGAAAGGCAGTTACTGCCCTAAGAAAACTTTCTCTCTTGTAATCAATTCTGCCCCAAATTGGCAGTTTCCCTTAGGCTCAAGATTTATTTTCTCTTATGGTTGACATTTAGAAAAACACAAGGCAAGAATGATGCACTATAACACTGGTATATTATAATTTATCTATACTGTCATGCATGGCACAGATTGCTTTGTAAAAGCATTGTAGAAGTTACTAATCTAAGTTTAAATATTTTAGTTTAAATACTTACCTCTGATCCCATGAGAGAGAAGACTTAGGTCTTGTCCTCAGTCAGGTTCTGTGTTTGTGTGTTAAGCAATTTTTAAATTAAGGAACATAGTACTGCTTGCACCTCCCTTTCCTTCTCCCCTACATCCATGTTGCTTCCTCCTACGCAAAGCTCCTTTCTATCACATCCTCAAAAGATTTTATGTAATTTTGGCCTCTTTGTTGACCTTATCACTTTTCCATTTTAAACATTTCCAAAGGACAATGGAATTAAAATCTCAGCTCTGTTGTTACACCACAGTAGTGTACTGACAGGTTAGCACAGCAGGTCCTGCATTCCAAAGGTTTTCTGGTGTTGTGGAGAAAACAGTCTGTTGTTTAGAATAAGTGACTAGTAAAAAGGTTACACAATACCTTTTTTTTTTTTCTTCTGGATTTAAATAGGTATTGAAGGCCTGATTCTCCTCACTGGCTTTGTGCAGCTGCGACTCCTGGGTTTCAAATTCAGTACATCAGCACATCAAGCTTAGTGATTGAATTAGACGCTAGGTGTCCAGCTTCAAGCATAGACAGAGCCAAAGCCATGATGGACCACACAGAGGGTAAGGGATGGACACCCCACTGGTTCTGTTGGTAAAGAAATCTCATTGCAACCATGAATGGGAATCAGTTGAGAGAAACACTGCAAAACACTGAGTTACTGCACAGTACTTACATGTAGTAAAGGAGGACAACAATTGAAAAAAACCCCACTGGGAGGGCTTGAGCAAGGTTGGAGTGAAAACATACAATGGAGGGAAACATGGACCATAGTTGTCACTCTACAGTCCCAGAAGAGAGACAGTGGTGAAAGAAGAAGGTGGTGGCAACTACTGTAAGACCCAACTGGAGGACAGGGGAAGATGACAGAAGGGAAGGAAACTGTGTGCTAAGCATTTTGCTGCAAGCCTGATTACAGGAACAGAGTGGGTTAAGAGTTCTAAAAAATGGCAGAAATCAATGTTGTGCAAGGCAGTGGAGAAATGCCAGAATTTAAACCAATGTTGGTTTTGGCATGATGAGTAAGTCCTCAAGAAATCTGGATAGCAGAAAGGTAAACTGAATGGTTAGGTGGTAGGAAAGCTCAGGCCAGGAGACTCCCAAGTCCCAAAGAAGTATGGTGACAGTGAACAAGCTAGCTGCCTTTGCTAGTCAACATGCAAGGATGCCAGGCAGGCTGAGAAAGGGAGATGGCAAGGCATTGTGGCTTTTGACAGCAGGGAAAATAATTAAAAATATTAATTGAAAGAGGCATCCAGAGGTCAATCTCCTGCTTGGAGCAGGGCCACCAGTAGATAAGGTTAGCCAAAGCCTTTCCAAGGATGGAGATTATATAACATTTCTGAGCAACCTTCTCCAGTGCAGGGCTGCTCAAGCTGGAAAAATGTTGTTCCCTAATACGCAACTCACCCTTCAGGCTTTGTGGCCATTGCCACTCAGTAATGATCTGGCACTGAGGAAAGGACATGAAGTCTGTCATCTTTGTAATGGTGCTTAAAATAGTTGAAGGAGAGAGAAAAGGTGACTCAAGTTTCCATTGACTTTGAAGACCTTTGAGTGAGTTTGTTTGCATGTTGTCATGGTTTTGTTTCTCCTTGGCCTCTCAGGTGTGGCTTTCCTGTCTTTATTCCCAAGACACATCAGGAAGTGCTTAAGATGCTTGTCCATGGGGAAATGCAGCAAGTATTAGGTGAAGCAAGACAGAATTAGACCTGAAGTCACAGGGATCCTGTGTCAAGTCTCACAACTGAGACAGACTGAAGGCAGTGCTGCTGGAGTTGAATAGGGGTAATATAAAGCACTTGCTTCATTACACTTTTCTGATGCTCCTTCCCCTTTGGGAAGCAGAACCAGAAGGAACCCTGGAAGCAGTTGAGCACTTAAAAGAGAAACAACTCAGTGACAGTCAGCAGTCTCTTCTGTGGCAGGAAAATAGAGTCTTGCTGTCCCAAGAAGATGTATTTCTAGTAAGATGCTGTTGGTGCATGCAAGTCCATTAAAAACACCAGTCCTTTATTCTCTGTTGTGAATTCAGGTGGTCAGGAGCACTCACAGCAAATATGCAAGACTGATTAGGACATTCTCTTAGGAGAAAGAGCTGTGACAGGAGTAAATATGACCTGGGGGGTTTCTCATGTCATCTTCCTGAAAGCACTTAGGAAGTACGTATTACTTGCATTAAATTAGATTTAATTCTCCCATTTGATCTTGCCTCAGACAAGTGGAATAAGTGGCAAGGCAAAGTGAGAGCAAAGCAGTGCAGTGTTAGGGTGGAAACAGTATTGTGTGGATGGAAGATTACAAAGTAAAAGGTTTCAAGGTTTTATTTTCCTCCAGTTCTGTAGTGTTGTTCAATATTTTCCAATTGTTGTGGGCCATAGATTAGAAAGTACATGTGTTAGCCTCTTCTCATGCAAAAAAAAAGAAGCATCTGTACCAGGAACACAGAGGATTTTGCAGGTTTATTTCATTATCAGCTCTGCAAGGCCACAAAATTGGTAAAAAAACTGACAAGAATGTGAGTGAGGTAACCCTCCTCTGGGGATCAGCAGAGTGAGCTGAAACTAATGGAGGTGGAGTAGCATTCTGGAGGAAGATTTTCTTTTCTTCTTAGGTACCAAAACACATATATTGAAAATACACATGTTCTGAATGGTGGCAGTTCTGGTTCAGAAAGTACTGAAAAGACACACCAGTGTTGTTCTGTGCACAGTCTGATACTTACAGGGTAGTGCTAGCATTTTCAGGTTCTTTGGACAGGAAAATGAGCCAGAGGCATCAATTCATGGTTACTTTTAATATGTGCTCTCTTCTAACATTAAGAGATTTGTCAACAGTGAAGGAAAGTTAAGAAGCGCACAGACTATTAAGATGCGCTTTGTGGTGTGTATTTTGTTCATCATTGTTGTTGCAATAACCTGTTTAGTAATTGTTGAGTTTCTAGGGTGAAGAGAACCTTCCCAAGAAGAGGATAGTCTTGGTCTTGTTGTGCCTGATAAAGAAGAGGAAAGGGTGATCTGCCACAAAAATAACAGTAGCACCAAGACTTCGTGATGCCAGTGCTGCTGAACTGGCAGCTGCTGCCTCTGTGCCCTCTTCATTGACTTCCAGGTAACACTTGTGAAAAACTTGTGACAAAAAAAGATCACCGTCCTTTGACATTCCTGTGAAATCAGCTTGACCTTCTGTGAAGGCATCTTGTATCCCCATCCTGCTCAAAGTAGATTTGAGATCGTATTTCTCTTCCAATGTGAACCTCGGCAGATAAACCTCCATTTTCATTTTCTCCATTAGTTCTGGGTTGGTCCATGAAGACAAGTTTTCAAAAGTCAATTCTCTTTCCAGCTGCAGTTAGTAAAAAGAGAATTAGAAAATTATAGAATGTTCAAACACCTGTGCCCTAGGGACCATTTCTTCTCTTTTCTTAAATGGAGGACTTTTCAAACTGTTGTAAGAGTACAAGAAAAACAGTAGGGAAATGCCAGTTTGGAAATCTTTTTGACTAAATAACAATGTTGCTTATGGTTGGTCAATGCAGTATTTGAACTGTTCTCAGTAACTGTTGGGGAATATAGCAGGATTACAATAGATTGATTTTCTGTTCCCAGTTCTGTCTTCCCTGCATTCTAGAATTTAGCTCTTTAGAATAGAGCTTGTTTGTTTTTTCCCCCCTCACAGAACACCCTATAAATGAGAAATTTTTAAGAGTTTGTTATCCAAAGGCAGAATCAGTCTTTTTACAGAAGGTGGCAGTGTCCATACATATCAGTTCTGGACATCCTGCCCAATTTTTGGTAGAGTTTTTTTAGAATGAAATCATATCTGTCTGAATCAGTACAGACAGTGGATCTCAGCAGGGCTGGATGGGTGTCCTCATTTTTTGGGGGCTGGAAGAGGAGTTTGGGTTACTTGTTTCCAGGACAGATCAACACTGGAAAGCACAGATGTGCTAGCTTCCAAGAGTAAGAAGTCTTGTCTGAGCTCCAAGAAGTTCAGGTTCACAGTACTAGACCAAATTTGAGATTTGCTTTACCTTGAGCCTGATCAGTACCCTCCTTCCTAGAAACATGACTGCAGCCTGGTCTTTTACCTCACACATGCATAAAGTGAGTAAATTACTGACACTCTTATTTTCTCAGATGATTTATGTTCTCAGTTGTTTTACCTTTTGTAAGCCGGTGACATCACTTGGTAGCAGGATAAACATGCTGAGGTCATTATTGACGTATGGAAGTTCAAGAACATCAGCCTGGACTGATTCTACGTAGCTTAAGTTAAATTTGTCCCTCAGGTACATCATGGGCACTGGTTTAGTTGTATGCTGCAACAAATCAAATAGTTTCCATTTGTACTCTGAACAATAAAGGACTGAGTTAAAATAGCACAGTAGATGATTATTGTATTTACTCTAAAAGCTGCCCAATGTGTCTGAGATATCCTTATGGCTGGACATAGGATCTTCAGAGGACCCCTGGTCTTCTGGAGAGGTACTTGGAGGCATGACAAGCTATCTGAGCTGTTTCAGATGACTCCCATTATGGGAAGCTGTATTTTGCTCTGATTTGTTGTATGGTTAAAAATGAATATGTAAAAAACTAACCCATACAGTTTTGTTCACCTCTTTGTTCTTCATGCCTTCAGATAATGGAAGCTTTTTTCAAGTCAGCTTCTGGCAATTTTACTTGTGGCTCAGGGCATACTATGTGTGTGCAGCCTTAGTGCTGAAGGTGTGGTGAAGAAAATATACTATACGCTTTAAATGAAGTAACTATTGTGCCATGTGGATTTAAAGCATGACAGGAATTTCTCTTTTAGTTTTCTCCACATGCAATGTAGGATATAGGGCAGTATATTCCCATACCGTGTTTATTCTGAAAGGCCTTTGCCTGGTAGCTTCAGCTTCAAACTTTGTTGCCCAGTTTCCTTTGAAGTAGAGTGCGTTTATCAGGACTAGCCTGGTGAGTGAATCTATGGATCCAGGAGGCAGAAGATTTTGGATTTTACCTAGAGAAAATAGAAGGGCATTCACACGTCTGTGCAGTTTTACTGTTTCAGTGCAAGTGTTGGCAAAGTTTCTGTGGTTATAAGCCAGGGAAATTGTAAGTGCTGCCATAGTACCCATCTATCTTGAGATAGATGCAAATATATTTGCAAATACATTGAGGTAATCTTGAAGAATTAGAAGAAGAACAAGCCAAATTTCTTCCACATTCAGATGAAGGAAAGTAATTTTAGTAAGGGCTTGTAACTAGATGAGTACTTTAGGAAAACTGACCTGATTTATCTTTCTGAGGTTAATTGTTTACCTACTGTGGGCCGCTTGGTTACAGAGAAGGCAAAACGGCTTCTTTTTGGTCTGGAGAGGAGAGGCTTGAACTTACCTTCAGTCTGTTGTTCAACATTGGAATTGATCTCTCTTCTGATTTCATTTGCTGCTCCCACAAAGTCAACTGATTGTGGTTCTGCATTGTAATATTTCTTGGCTAACTGTAAGTATTCCTACAGTGCAAGAGAGACACCGGTATTAGGCTTGTTCTCCTCCAGAATGAGTGCTACTACAGCCAGAGATAAAAACTGCATGATTGAAAGCATAGTGGTTTGTCAAAGGAGCCATGTAATTTTTTGGCTGAAATGCTCAGTTTAAATGTTCTTGTCTAATTACACCTGCAAATGATTCTGAGATTAGATACACATCCCATAAAACTAAAATTTTAGTGTAAAGTCTCAGAAAAAGTCTCATAGAAAGCACTTATGTGAAGGATAATAACATGATTTGCAAATGAAGTGAAAATATTTAAAGTATGTGGTTTATATTGTCATAGGGAGATTATGAACGTTAACTGGCACTGCATAATCTGAATAAAAGGCTTACCTTACTGAAAGGCAATGATTTTTCTCCATATAACTGGTTGACACTTTTAAGCAGGTAATTTTCAGCAGGTTGATTGATTTCAAAGTTGAGTGCTTTAAATCCAGTATGGATATTATCTGATTTGCCAAATTCTTTCTTGAAAAAAGAAAAAAAAAATGTTGTTCATCTGTTGTGTAAATAGTTTAAAATTCCCAATTTTTCCTTTCATACAGCTCCAAGTAAAGTATTTCTCTTTGGGTGATTTGTTACCTCTATTACAATGGAAGAGGTGCTCTAAATTTGTCAGTAATAAAGGAATCATTTTAAAGTTGCAGATATGGTACACAATGTAAGTTTTAAGAGCCTGAACTATGTAAAATATTTAAGGGTTTGTAAGTGAAGATTCTGAAACTTAGGATATCCAGAGAATGAGAGACAGAGAGTAACTGTTAAACAATGCATAAAGATTTAGCTCTGTCACTCTTTTCATTTATGGAAGTCAAGGGTGTTACATGGAAGGTTTGCCCCTAATTTCTTAATATCTCTCTTAAAATTTTGTGGTTTGTTTGGGGTTTGTTTTTTTGGGTTTTCTTAATGTTTCAGTAATTGCAGTAACTTGTTTATATTAAAGTAACAACAGGATTAAATAAATGTTAGCTCAGACTCTCAAATGAGCTCAAGAAAGATAAACTGTGAACTAGTAAACTAAAAGTCTGCACCTGTGCTGTATTCACTGTGTCATTATATCAAAATCAGAGGCATGAACAGACACTTAAATCTCTAAACTGTTTGAACCCATAGCACTACACATAGTGCTTGCCCATAACACTCTGTAATTCTTACAATTAGGACAAGCATTACTCATGAGCGACAATCCCTCTCCTGTTCATGCAGAGCCAAGGAGATGCTGACATAAGCCCTAAAATAAATCTTCCTACCGTGGGATGGAGATCCAAGTGGCCATTCATCAAAACTCATGGGAGTTTGGGTTTTGTGGGCAGACTGCAGGGAAATGGCTCACTCCCTCAACAAATAACGATGACGTCAAAGAGCAGGGAGAAGCTTGACACTACTGTGGTTGAATTATCAGTGAGGAAAAAGAGCTTTTACTGTCTCAGAGGGATTACATTTGCCTTTTTGTATTTTTCTGCTATGTTCAGTTACATATATTTTGGGAGAAACGCCTGCCAGTATGACAAAAAAATATTTCAGGAATATAATTATCCCCATTTCTCTAAGATTATTGCAGGTAACTGATCTACTTTGGGAAATCCCAACATGTAAATTATTTTGTTAACTGCTCAGTTGAAATGGAGACTAATTTCTGAAACATATCAAGTATAGGTAGCTTGGAAAAGTTAATGTTTCAGTTTTGTTGTCTTGATGAGGCAATGAAATGTGTGGAAGGGCAGGTCTGTCCTTGGGATTAGCTCTCTGAGGTAGGAAGTGTGCTAGCTTTTAAACAGTAATAATTTGGGAAAGAAATCTGCCCTCAAAGCTAAGAGAGAAAGAACAAGAGATCTATTGATAGAGAATGATAACATCAAATGTTAAATTTTGCAAATTTGAGATTAGTTTTTGCAATTCTGCCTAAAAAGGAAAAGCATGTAATAAGTATTGCATTAGGTGATGGTATGACAGGATGCTGTACCAATTAGTTGTGTACACCAAATCTGATGAAGGCAAACGTAAGCAAATGCAAATGTGGAAGGAAAATATAAGCAAGAAAAGATATGACCACGCCCATAGCTTGATCACTAGCTTGGGTGAGGTACCTTCTGGAAACATGCACATCGATTTGATAGACTGTCTTCTGTTCTGGAATAGACTTGCATTCTTATGGTTGTGGTGACATTTTTGGCTCCTTCAACTTTGTTGAAGTGAAGTACCTGTAGTGGAAAAAGCAATAATAAATTGATCAATGGAAAATTTGCTGTTTCTGTTAAAATTTTCAGTGATGTCACAGGAACTGGTGATGAAGAGAGTCAAGTTCAGATTTTATTCAGTCCTTTCTGAATATAAAATCTTTGGTTAGGTCTTGAGGCTGGTGTGTACAAAATGGCTTGTGCACACTAAGCTGAGGGCTGCAGGGCAAATCTCTTACATGTTCGGTCTTTACAGAGGAATCTGCCTGCTTGGAGTTATGCCTTAGGAAGAGGCAATTATCTCCAGATGGAGTCTATCAAAACAGAAGTCTAAATGAAGTGCGCATATGTGTCAGAAAGCCTGAAAATTGTGCAGGCAGTTTCATGCCTTAAATCCCTTTCTCTGTTCTTGTTCACCTTACCCAGGCTACAAAGGAGTATGACCCACCTTGGAACATTTTTTAGAAGAGTTGTGCCTTTTGTTGTGTTTTCCCTTCATCCTAACAGAAGATCACTCCTTTCTCTTTTACCCTCCTGGCTCTCTTTTGTCCCGTATATCAGGAGTTAGATCACTGCCCTAGCAGGTGGGACAACTTCTGCCTTAGCAGATGCAAATTCACAAGGCTCACCTCCTACGATAGGAGGTAGATAACTGCATTAGGTGTTAGGTAACTGAGCACTGGGACTGTCATCACTGTCACGTGCCAAAATAACGAGCTTTGAACAAGTGCAACTTAGCGATTTCAGTCAGTGATTTTAACAATAAAATATACATCCTAAAAAAAGGGTTGTAGTCTCAACTTGTTTCTTCTCTAATCTTGGAGATGTGGATTTATGTTTAGCAAAGTGCAAAACCTGTAATAACTATAAGGGAGAGTCTTTTTCTGTGGGGTCATTTCCAGTGAGAGGAGATATGAGATGGGAATTTTCTGTGGCAGAGTAGAAGAAGAATCCAGGTCTCCTACTCCCTGGTGAGCGCTCAAGTTACTGAGCTCTGGGATAAAGATCCTTTGTTTCTGCTGGTGAAATTTAATGTGTGACAATGTCACCAGTGCCGCTTCTGTAATTTCTTAGGGTCCTATTTGCAGAGACTAGAGTAGAATTAATCTGCACAAGTGGAGAACTGGTCAATTCATTGCAAAGCACATCAGGGGTGAAACGGGAGCTGCCATAAGCAGAAAAATCACTCTAATCAAAACTATATACATATATGTCCTTCTTCTGTTCCATCATAGTTAAATTCTGGCATGGAGGACATTATTCCAGGAGATCTACCCTTTCAGACATCTACTTTTTGAAGCCCAGACTCACCTTTGACATTTGATCTGCGGTGTTACCTTTGGCTCCCAAATAAACCATAGCCAGGGCAGATGAAATACTTAAAGGGGAGAACAAAATATTCTTGTCACCATCTTCCTGACACTGCTGTTTGAAAAAGTCGAGAGCAAAGCTTGTGTTTGCTTTATTTAAAGCATCCATTGTTCTGAAGCTGCAAAGAAAGGGAGAATATATGCTATTAACAAATCACTAATTATGACTGCTATGAGTCTGCAAGCTTCTCTTCACTTTTTGAACTTCCTTCTGTGATTTAAAGCCTTCCTAAAACTATCTATATGAGGAGGATTAACTTTTATAAGGTCATATAAAGTTTAGCATGTCCTGTTTCACTAATGGCATTAGCCATCATTTTTAGGGATAAACCAGTCTCCAATCTTGTTTCGTATTTGTTCACCAGGACACTTGCTGCACTGTCTTTTACAGCATCTTGAAGTAACAGTTGATAATGTTACTCACCAGTGCCTGGACTAGAGAATATGGAGAGAGAGAGACTAGAGAATATAGAGAACATGTCCCTTATGACAAATTTTATGCTTCTGTTTGTGCAAGAGCATTTTGATGTTCATTGCTGTAGTGAACAAATACTCTGTTAACAATAGAGTCAAGTTATTCATTTAGGTGAGGACAAAAGATTCCTTCCTATGCTTGAGCAAGCACTGCTCCAACTGTTGCATGCTAAGCATCCTGAATTACCTTTCTGATTTTCAAAAGTATCATGAGCTCTGTCTTACAGTGCTAGCCCAGATCCTAGCTTCCCAGTTCTTCTGCAGGACAAAGTTTCTGTATTCGGTACACCATGAATGCTGTTATTTGTCATCTATCTTGCAGGTTTAGCTGAGAGCTCTAGACAGGGACTAGGAGCTTTTCTGATTTGCATAGGATGGCCTTAGAATAAAAACAGTTTGTCTCCCAAGTAGCTTGCATACCAGGAGCTGATCTGATAATTCTAAGAACTAAAGAGCACTAGAACAAATTAGCTGACTTAAGCAAACACAGTGGTTCTTACCCTGCTATGATATATATGCTAGTCAGTGAGCCCTAGAAATTATAGAACTCTGAACAATAAATTGCTCTTCCTGTATATTTTTAAGACTTCCACCTTCTAGACTATGCCTGTGCAATCCTAGCTAATTACTTTCCCCAGCATTCAGTGGTTTCCAAGTCAGATCCCTACTTCCTTCTTTCCTATGCATTTGTTAACAAAGCAACATCATCCAAGAATGTGTGAAATAAATAGTATCTAGAAATCATTACAGTACCTTGTTTTCTGCAGGAAGAAACACTGCTGCTCCAGGTGTCTCCAAGGTTTCTGCAGTTCACATGAAGGGTAGGGTGAATTTATAGTGTGCCTGGCCGGTTCTGCGAAGGTTCTTATGACTCATAAATGGGCAATGTGTTCTGCCCTGTAGCCCACATCCCTGTGGAAGAGCTGAATCACCTCAGAGTAGGATGGTAAGAATGATACCATACAAGACCTTTACAAAACTGACTACATAAGTATTTCTATAAACACTTTTGTGGCAACAGGCTAGTAACAACTTGAACCCACAGTACTTTGAAGAACCTTTCTTTTGTGGTTTGGAGAGTTTAAAAAAAGCCAGTTGCTGACCTACATTTTTTTATGATTCGTCTAACAGAATTTATCTCTGAGAAACAGGCAGACAGGAAAAAAAGAGAGTGACTTCTTATGTGTGAGTTTTTCTGTTGTCTGTTTCCTTCTCAGAAAGAATTGGTCATTCCTGGTGGGTTTCACTTTTGGAAATTTTTTTTTTTTTTTTTTAATCATGAAGGATTTTAAGACTGTACAAGCAGGGAAATGCTGCCACTGGGAGATAAGGAAGGTTAAGAGACAGGGACCAGACCCTTGCTTGTACTATCACTGGCAACATTGCTATGTGAATCTAAGTGGGTTTTAAATTAGAATTCATTTCTGTTTCCCCATCCAATCTGAAAGCTTTTTGACCAATGTATCACAATAGAGATCTATTCCTTATTTTTCATTCCATTTCTTCTTTCCTTGGCTACAAAAATACCTCCTTCCCTGATTTTCCTTGCAATCATGCTGTCCCTTCTTCTGTTGTCCTTCCTGTAGCTGTCCATCCCCACTTTGACCCCTAAATTAAATATTCTGTGTAATCCTACTCTTGCCCTTTATTTCATCTTTTACCTCTCTGCACTGCTGAAAACTCCACCTCAAAAACCTGGATAGGAGTTGCTCTCCAGGGCTGCCTCCTTGACACTGAGCAGGACTAACAAAGTCTCTCTCCGTGGCACAAACTACCTTCAGAGCTTTCTTCTGACCTCCTGTGTATGTAGCATAGGTCAAACATGGACTTATGCTGTAGGTCAGCACCTGTCATGGAGAATCCTGTAATAAGGAATGAACTATGGAAATACCTGGAAAATTTGGTGTAGGGCATATGGGTGTGCAGCTGCCAATCCCCTGCCAAGGGTGAACCTTCTGCATCAATATAATTGGGAAAGGAAAGCTTTGTTAAAGTTGCTTTCCTACTTGTAAGGTGCCACATTACTTTAATTGGATGTTTTCCTGCCCCTCAGGTCTGTTAAAATTGTAGCAACGCATAAGGAGCGTGTTTCATTGTGAGTTCTAATTAGATGCATCTGTTAGGTTTTCTAGACAGCAGCATAGTGTAGGAGAGATACTCACTGCATAATTAATTGCTTCCATTACACCTGGGAAAATGGTAATCTGTTTACATTGGCCTACAGTGATTTCCAAGGCTTAAATGATTTGAGTAATGTTCGCAAATTTCACCATGTTGTTGAACGAGTGATAGATACCCTGGAAAGACTTCATCCCTTAGAGCAATTACTGTGGATTTTCTGGTTTTAAAGCAGGGGTAACTTAGCTACCCTGTGATACTGCTTGCTGCCTTCCAAGAAGTGACTGAGGTGTTCTGTTTACGCAGAAATGCGGGGTTAGAATGAATGAGAGGCTTGTGCCTTTGCACAAGATTTTAAAGCTACCTTTTTAGAACACTTGAGCTGGCAGTTAGGAAATAAAAATAAAAATAGCATACTGAGTAACTAGAATTATACTCACCTCAAAGGCAAAAAATGCCAAGTCCATGGGCTGATAATGTTTCCTAGTATCCTTTTAAGTTAGTATCACCAGAGGACACGACTCTTTGGATGGTGCTACTGGTGACTCAGTAGCAGCAGTACTCTCACTCCCACTCTTTACTAAGTCAACACAGCAGAACACTAGAGGACTTTTTGTGTTAATAGTGCTCTTCCTGTGGGAAGTAAACCTGTGGGCCCTTTCACTGCAGTCATTGGTGTTTCTGTTTGGTTAGAACAAATACTGGCAGGGTATCAGTGCCCTGGCCAGATCTCATCCTTTTAGAGGCATTTTGTTTTCCTCCAGTTTCAGTGTAACTTTGCACACGTCATTTTGACTTTCCTGCACAGTGTGTTGCTCTGTTCATTAGCATCTGGGTTCAGGAGTAGGTGATACGTTTGATGTCTGAATAGAACATTATTCTGTGATTCTGTGAAGGCTCTTGAGGATCTGGAGAGAAAGACTTTCTGTTGCAGAAAAATGGTAGCTTCTCCTCTCCCACAGTATTTTTAGGATACAACTTTCCATGGCTGGTTTTCATGCTCATTGGTAGCTTATTTTAGCTATCAACTCTGAAAAGCTCTTGGAAATCCCTATTAATTCAAAATTAGCATGTTCTAAATTTCAGGGAAGATCAAAAGAAAAAGTGGTGTTTGAAGGAAATCTGTTCAGTTTTCCTGACATCCTCAAGTGTTTTATACCAGTATAAGCACTGTTTATTTACTTGGGAGGGAAGAATTTCTAATTCAGCCAGCAGAGTACTCTATTTAAGTTTTTGGCTGAACCAGAATAGGCCAGTAAATTTCAAACATGAAAGGATTTTTAATGTCCCCAAACCTTTAAAAGGACTTTAGGAGATACAAGAATCATGGGGATGAAAAGGATTTTGGAACCTGAGAAGATTTGAATATCTTTGGAGGTCTGATGTAATTATTTTTTTTTTAAATCTCTGCGTGATTTGAAGTTAAAAGCTGTAATGAGGGGCACAGAAAATGAGGAAATAGTAAGAGTGCTAAGCTCTCTACTCTGCACTGGCACAGCCTTACCTGGAGTACTGTATGCAGTTTTGGTCACCCCACTACAAAAAAGACACTAAGCTACTAGAGAGCATCCAAAGTAGGGCCACGAGGATGGTGAAGGGTCTGGAGGGAAGCCATACGAGGAGCGGCTGAGGTCACTTGGTCTGGTCAGCCCAGAGAGGAGGAGACTGAGGGGAGACCTCATTGCAATTACAACTTCCTCATGAGGGGAAGAGGAGGGGCAGGTACCAATCATAGAATCAGATGAAGAGATCAGTGCCTGCCCCTCCTCTTCTCCCCACAAGGGGACAGGATCCTCAGGGAAGTGGTCACAGCACCAAGCCTGTCTGAGTTCAAGAAGCGTTAACACAATGCTCTCAGGCACATAGTGTGATTCTTGAGGTGTTCTGTGCAGGGCCAGGAGTTGGACTCCATGTTCCTGATGTCTCCCTTCCAATTCAGCACATTCCATGATTCTATGACTAGAAGCATAAACTTTTCAATGCTAAGAAGGACTCTTTT